CAAAAGAAATTGCTCAGCTATCAAACCAGTGCGTGTAGCACTGAAAAAGAGAAATATTATGTCCTATCAATTTTTCCATCTCCCACTTAACACACATACATTTTTCCTTTACTTTTGTCAGTCTCTTCTACCTCTTTAAAAATTTATTTTCCTTAACCTCCTCCTCAATCAACCAGTCATTCGCCTTTGTGAGATTATATGATATTGTGGACAGTATATGTACAAGCATACCACAGAGATACTGTAGATTCAGTTCCAGGCCACTGCAGTAAAGCGAATATTGTAATAAAGCAAGTCATGCGAAGTTTTTGGTTTCCCAGTGCACATAAAAGTTGAGTTTATGCTGTAGTCTGTTAAGTGTGCAATACCATTATGTCTGAAAAAAAAAAAAAAAACCCTACATACCTTAATTTAAAACTGCTTTATTGCCAAAAAAAAAAAAAAAAAAAAGTTAATGACCATCTGAGCCTTCAGTGAGTTATCATCCTTTTGCTGGTAGAACGTCTCGTCTCGGTGTTGATGGCTGCTGACTGATCAGTGTGGTGGTTACTAAAGGCTGGAGTAGCTGTGGCAATTCCTTAAAATAAGAACAGTGAAGTTTACCGCATAGATTGACTCCTCCTTTCATGCCAGATTTCTCTGTAGCATGCAATGGTGTTTGATAGCTCTTTAGCCACAGTAGAACTCCTTTCAAAATTGGAGTCAGTCTTCTCCAACCCTGCTGCTACTTTATCAGTCAAGTTTATGTAATGTTCTAAATCTTTGTCATTTCAACAATGTTTACAACATCTTCACAAGGAACAAAGTCCATCTCAAGGAACCACTTTCTTTATTCACGCATAAGAGGCAACTTCTCATATCTTCAAGTTTTATCATGAGATTGTGGCAATTCAGCCACATCTTCAGGCTCCCTTCTAATTATAGTTCTCTTTCTATTTCTGCCACATGTGCAGTGACTGTCTCCACTGAAATCTCAAACCCCTTAAAGTCATCCATGAAAGTTGGAATCAGCTTCTTCCAAACTCCTATTAATGTTGATGTTCTGACCTCCTCCCATGAATCAGGAATGTTCTCAATGGTGAACATTAGAATGGTGAATCCGTTCCAGAAGATTTTCAATTTGCTTTGCCCAGAACCATCAGAGGAATCACTGTGTATGGCAGCTATATACCCTTATGAAATGTATTTCTCAAATAATAAAACTTGAAAGTCTAAAGTACTCCTTGTTCCATGGGCTGCAGAGTGGTTGTTGTGTTAGCAAGCATGAAAACATTAGTCTCCTTGTACATCTTCATCAGAGCTCTTGTGTGACCAGGTGCTATGTCAATGATCAGTGATCAGTAATATTTTGAAAGGAATCTTTTTTTTTTTTTTTTTTTTTAGCAGTAAGTCTACACAATGGGCTTAAAATATTCAGTAAACCATGCTGTAAACAGAAGTATTGTCATCTGGGCTTCATTGTTCCGCTTATAGTCCTCAGGCCAAGTAGGTTTAGCCTAATTCTTTAGGGCTGTGGGATTTTCAGATGAGTGAGCATTGGCTTCAGCCTAAAGTCGCCAGGTGTATTAGCCCCTAATAGGAGAGTCAGCCTGTCCTTTGAAGTAAAGAATTGACTTCTCTCTAGCTATGAAAGTTCTGGATGACATCTTCTTCCAAAAGAAGGTTGTTTTGTCTTCCTAGAAAATCTGTTTAGTGTAGACACCTTCATCAGTGGTCTTAGCCAGATCTCCTGGATAACTTGCTGCAGTTTCTCCATCAGTACTTGCTGTTTCATTGTGTGCTTTTATGTTATGGGGATGGCTTCTTTGCTTAAACCTCATGAACCATCCCTACTAGATTCAAACTTTCTTCTGCAGCTTCTCCACCTTTCTCAGCCTTCATAGAATTGAAGAGAATTAGGGCCTAGTTCTGAATTAGGTTTTGACTGAAGAGAATGTTATGACTGGTTTGAACTATCTAGACCACTCAGACTTTCTCCATATCAACAATAAGGCCATTTCACTTTCTTATCACTTGTGTATTCCCTGGAGTAGCACTTTTAATTTCCTTCAAGAACTTTTTCTTTGCATTCATAACTTGGTTAACAGTTTGGTGCAGGAGGCCTAGCTTTCGGCCTATCTCAGCTTTCGACATGCCTTTCTCACTAAACTTAATCATTTCTAGCTTTCTTTTCATTTTAATTGATACTGTAGTTATACATATTTATGGAGTACAATTTTCTGTTACAGGACAGGTATATGTTGTATTATGATCAAATCAGGGTATTTAGCATGAGATCACCTTGTACATTTATCATTTCTTTTGGTGAGGACATTCAAAAGCCTGTCTTCTAGTTCTTTTGTGATCCGCAGTCCCTAATCCTTTCTAGCTTTTGATTTAAAGTGAGGGATGTGTGACTCTTCTTTTACTTGAACACTGAGAGGCACTGTAGGGTTATTAATTGTCTAATTTCAATATTATTCTGTCTCAGGGAGGCAGGAGGCCTGAGATGAGGGAGAAGATAGGAGAGCAGCTGGTCAGTGGAGCAGTCAGAACACACACAGCATTTATCAATTGAGTTCACTGTCCTGTATGTGTGCAGTTTGTGGTGCCCCCAAACAATTGCAATAGTAGCATCAAAGATCACTGCTTGCAGATCACCATAACAAACGTAATAATAATGAAAAAGTTTGAAATATTGTGAGAGTTACCAAAATGTGACAGAGACGTGAAGTAAACATACAGTGTTGGGGAAATGGCTGATCTTGTTTTACTTGTATTTCCCTACGCCACCTCATATTGCTTTATTATTTATTTATTTATTTGTATATTTATTTTTG